ATTAAATCCTTGTCCTCAGACCAGTGCTTTTGAAGAATTTGAAGATCAGCTTGTTTGCTTCATTTCTTGATTTACTTTCATATATTGACTTGAAATCCATGTCCTTGATGTTGAGTTGTTCCAGTGCAGTTTTCAGAATGAGTCTTTGTCTGTTATAATCCGGGCAGCTAAAAAATACATGATGTATTGTCTCTGGTTGTTGATCTTGTATCTTGCTTATTTTCCCCTCTTAGGAAAGCGGACACAGGATGCACTTTTCTTTGAGACCGTCCAGGCGTTGGAGGACCGGCGTGCCGTGGTGAATGAGTCGCTGCGCGGAGATCAGATGGTGCAGTTCACCAAGGCCCAGGAAACGGAGGACAAAATGCTCACCTCGATGGAGCGCCAGGCAGAAGTGTTCCAGCAGCAGATGAGCGACAAACTGCATTTAATACTGGGTTTCTGGAAGTGCTTTCCCAGCTAGTGAAAGCCAACAGGTCTTCCTCCCTTTAGTTGCCACTGTTAATGTCTGCTGCTGAGCCTATGCCTACACCTGGGACAGTTTATTTGGTATAGTTTTTGTAAATACTGACACACGACACACAACTTTGCACTAAGGTGTGTATGCTGCTGAGACTATCCCTACACCTGGGACAGTTTATTTTATATTGTTATTACTGTTATCACTTTATTTTATATATAATGTTTACTGACATGTACAACTGCCACTTTATTTTATATTGACAATGTTTACTGACATGTACAACTGACACTTTAGTTACATTTAAAATATTTCTATTTAATGTTATGTCTTGAGAGTGCAATAAAGAAAACCGACATGGCGATTAAACAGATCCTGTATCTTGCTTATTTCTGACACTTTATCTTTTGTGACCTGTGTAGCATCCTATACATCACATGTAAGTGATTATTCTGATACCATCATGTTTCATCATGTTATAAACTGGCAAAGCTTTATTTGTCATTTATTTATCATCAATGTTGCAACCTTGTGGAGGAATGGCAGGGGCACATACACAAATATGATAATTTATATCATTTTAAATATTATTTGACCTAAACTTTTAATTGCCCCACAACATGGAGTCCACTATGGGCCAAAACTAACATGTATGTTAGTTTTGGCTACTATTACACTATTGTAATGTTGCCTGTCTTGACTGCAAAATGAAAGAGAGAAACAAAAGCACTGTACAAATGATCAGCTTTATTGTCAATGTTTACATTTATTGTTTACAATGTACAATTTACACGCTGTTCAGATGCCTCATAAGGGCTGTGCGTGTGTCTTGCCCCCCAGCCTCGGCAATGGCTGGCGCTGTATGTATAAGAGCTGTACGCTCTTGAATAAAGATAGGGAATAACCCCCATATTCAGTCTGCCAAAAGCGTTCTCCACCACCACTCGTGCTCGGCTTGTTTTGTGATTGTGTTCTATTGTTCACCCAGAGAGAGCGCGGGACACGACGCGTCCCGTAGTATTTGCATATCTGGAACACATACAAAGGCGCAAATTAGCTCTACATAACTCCACAAATCCTACATTAGATAGTATTAATAATTTACTGAACTTACCATTGCTGTTCTTAGGGCGTGAAAACGCTCATCGTCATCAGCCATCCTACGGTGAAACATGGCAATCATGTGTGCTTTCCGTCGGCCAATCCTTTTCCTAAGGCTTTTAAACTGCCTTTGATGCTGAAGAAACTTTGCGATTATAGCATTCGACGTGTGGCGGCTCCGGATTTGTGTCGAACGCCTAATAGGCTCAGGCTCAGGCTCTGGCTCAGGCCGCATTAACGAAGTTACAAAGCTGTATAACATGAGCACAAACAGCACAACTTCAGTCGACTCCATCTCCATCATGTCTGAGGTCGGAAGGTAAACAACAGACAGTATACGCGGGAAGTTTTTCTTCTTCTTCTTGTCTTGTTTTGTAGCGGATTGCAAACAACTTTAAGGTGCATACCGCCACCTACTGTACTCGTCGTGAAGTGGTTTGTGGCCTGCCAGTAAAGCCAAAGCAGAAGAAGAAGAAGTGACGTCAGCGGCTCATTTGCGTAATCTTCCCTCAGGGAAAAGTACTCCGGTGTGAACGCGATCTGTAATAAGTGCCCTGGGGTTAAAAGCGCCGGGGCTCTTAGTGCCGGAACTAAGTACAGGAAAGTACTTGGTGTGAACGCGGCATAGATAATATACTGTACATTTATTAAATGCCAAAACTGTACTTGGAAATAATATAGATCCTTTGACAACAGCAAAAAGATCATCCTTTAAAATATTACGTCAATCAGTGAGATTTTATGGTGATTTATATATTTTACAATGGTCACATAATAGGAATTATGGATGTACAATGCTGTGGGTGGAGGGGGGGTGGGGTTAGTGTTTTATTTAGATAGTCAACTAAGAAACATAAAGTACTTGAAACATACATTTTGGTAACAATTTTGAATATGATTATTTTCTTGAGCTTTAAACTCCTGGGGTCAAAATGACCACCAAGGATAAAGGGTGTAAAGCAAATGTGAAGATAAAGGGGGGTTAAGAATACATTATCAGTTTTTGGTTTTACAATATCCTAAAGTCTATTTTTAACACACTATTGAGTTGGCTTTTTCATTACATTTAAAATATAAATTGTAACTAAAATAATACTGAGTGAGCAGGGTATACATATTCACACCATATGCAATCATAGGATACTTTTAGTTCAAAAGATATTTGTCCAAATTGACTACAAAATAGTACAAATGCAAAACATTAAAAAAAAGTATATGCTGAAGGATATACCAGCTATCCAGGATATTCTCTGAAGATTTCCCAAGGGGTAAAAGCTGCTGCTGGAGTACTGACTGGAAGTAGTGCTGATATCATGTCTACCATATCCTCTTAAAATACTCTGTCCAACAATATAAGTCTAATGACACATTTTTATTTAAGATGCATTCTTGTACTAAGGAGGGGAATTTGAAAAAGAATACTTGAAAAAGTACTTGTTGGTGTAGTTAAATTAGTATACTGAGTGAGTCAAACAGTATCACTCTCATTAAGAATTTATGGCAGAACATCATTTTATCTCTTATCAAAGATAGCAGAAAACATGCATTATTGTACTCAAGAGGGGAGTTTGACAGAGTACACAGTAAAAGTACTCTAAATAGTATTGATCAATCCTCAACCTCCAAGCTATTTTAGTTTTGAAGAAAAAACCCTCGATGCTGACTTGACCACGCAAACGGGAAATACGGCCGCATCAATTCAGCAGTGTCAGTAACATCAAACAGAGAGATACTCATACTTTATAAGATAGGGATTCATGGCTGACAGTGCAAGACAGACAGCCAGATAGACAGATCGCGAGACAGACAGACAGACAGACCAACAGACCGACAGACGCGCACACACATACGCACCCACACACGGACAGACTGTCTTCTGTATGTTTTGCATGTAGCCATATATTCAATGTTGTGCAAACACGCACTGCACTGTCTAGGCAAACTTGCAAAGAGTATGAACCTTTATTTTGAAGAGTACAGCGCAAGCATGGGGAAAACTAGCCAATCAGAAGCAAGGAGGCACTGGAGACCCACCCACCTATGGAAACGAAACATTGAGTGGTATACTTGTTTTAACAGTAAGAACAGAAAAACGAAAAAACGAGCTGAATTTCCGTTTTTTCGTCTTGGGGCAAAATTGAAAAAACGACCCGTTTCTGTTTTATTATTAGTTTAAATGAGCACTAAAAAACAAACGGTTAGAACGTACCTTCGTCAAGGACGCTCCCTGCAGGAGAGAAGGAGGAACTGCAGCCTCCAGGAGCACAGCGAGGAGGTGAGGGGGGACAGGATGACCTTCAACTGGCATGTACTGGCAGCTTATTACCCGGATCATGTGTGCAAATAAAAAGGGTTCTTTATTTCAGTGAAAAAAAATGTCGGTTACCTATTTTTTATTTTATAAATAAGTACATAGTGGTGTATCTAAAGGGTGAAATACAGAACCTAATAAACAAGGAGTTTTCAGGTTTTCTTTATGTGATATCTACAGTATATAACAGAAAATGTTATATTATGTAATAGTGTGTATTTATTATATATATATATATATATATATATCATAAATTACATCTTTCAGTTAATCCTATGGGTTAATCCTAGTGTTCCCAGAGTAAAAAAGTACAGTATAACAATATTTAAAAATGTATAAAGAAAACAGGACATGTGTAAAAAAAGAACCTAAAAAAACAAGGTACAAAGAAACTACACTTTTACTATTAATTAAAAGTGTGCTTAGTGTTAAAAAAAATAAGAAATATATTTTTTCTTTTAAAGCATATACATTAGTATATGCTTAGTATAGGCTTTATCAAAAAGAAAATATATTGTGTTACTTAATGGTGAATATGAAATTAATAATTAAAAAACAGGACATTTATGGTACTTAAAGGTGGGCTAGGTAATTTCGGAGAAACCAGCTCGAGTGCGTAGAATTTGAAAATACACAACCGGAGAAAATATGCCACTTCCTTACAGAGCCCCTCCAACACACACGAACGCGCACATGACCAATGAGGGCACGAGATAAGTTTGTGCCCCGATGGAAGGCTGACAGGCAGGTAGGCCATCCAGTTATTTTGGCCGGGCCGGCTAAAATGATTGGTCGTGCTTTTACAGCATTACGGCTTCCACAGATGACATTTTTTTATGGATTTTTTGTCAAAGCAAATATTCATTGCTATCGGGATGTTAAGAGCATTCCATGGAATATAACAAGTGTATCTCGAGCCGGTTTCTCAAACGTACCTACCCCACCTTTAATGGTGAACCAACAGTAAAAAGAAATGGGCGTTTTTTTTTTTTTTAAAAAGTAATGATATTTTTTCTACCTTATAATTGCTTCAGAGAAAATAAGCAGTTGGCATCAGCAACCAAATGACATTTGATGGGATTTACTGCTATATTTACAACCTTAACTCAATGAACAGACACAAAGCAGGACATTTAACCAGAAAATCTTTATTAAAATATTTAATTTGAAATAAACTTAAGTGTTTCACATCAACAGTTTCCTTTGGTAGTGGCACTGACAGACAGATAAAGGTAATCGTGGCATCTTCTATTATATAAAACTTAATCAGAAAACAAACACTCACCAAAAAACAAGTGCTCAAAGTGACACAAAATACTTTCTAATATGTAATTCAACTTTAACTTTGAAGGGTGTAATTCTTACTTTCTCCTGTGAGTTTTACAATAAAAGCAAAATGTGTAAAGCTTGATCCCATAAAGAATGTCTCTGATTTCACAAAGATTAAAGTCAGGGTTAATTACTTACAAAATGATACTGTTAAAAAACAAAAAACAAAAGGATAAACACAAAACTGTTCACAGTACATTTGAGGTAAAAACAGCAGAGAGGAATGATCGACATTGATACAGAAATGGTCACAGATATTCAGGGGAATTTATGTTAAATAAATAATTAGATATTCTAAAAAATGTTAAACAAGTGCCATTAAAAACATTGAGGATTCACAGATCAGCTGGGGGAGGTGGTCACTTTCTGGAGGGCAGCGGCGCTCAGATTTAGGGAATGCTCGTTGGGAAAAAATTCCCTCATCAGGTATGACAAGAGCATCTGTTATGAAAGATAATGCAACAAATTCAGAACAACATTTTTATAAATTAAACTTAAAAAACTGATAAATTAGCAAGTGTTTGGAAGTGAAGTCAGTACCTTTACTCAAGTAATGTACCCATGTACAGTGTTTAGGTGCTTGTATTCCCATTAACTGCTAGTTTATACTTGTACTACATTTCAGAAGGAAATATTGTATTTTTTACTCCACTACAGAGTAGCTTTCTACATTAAAAACATGATAATCTTATGTTATATGACGCAGTCAAACATTGACCTAAACTGGACCCCCATTGACAACACTGAAATGCGTGAATGCTAGTGATAAGAATAATATGTTCTTTAATAATATAACACTTTAAAAGTAGGCTCTCATTTCAACATTTTGTATTTGTTAAGTATTTTTACGCTGTAGTATTTTCCAACTTTCAACTTGAATAAATGATCTGAATAATTTCATGACAGAAAGTAAATGATGAGATACTCACATATACCAGCGTTTGGTTTCCCTCTCTGTCCTGGAAAAGATTAAAAACAGCCTCCATGTCCGTCTTCTTCAGGATGAGATAGTTTGAATCTACAACAAGAACATGAAAAGAGATTATAGATGCGCCAAACATAACTGTGTACTTCCTTCTGATGGAGAGGTGTCACCTACATCTGGCGTTGATCAGGCCGTGCGCCCGGTCCCTCGTCTCGCTCTTCTCCTCCTCGCTGCGAGCATGATGAGGTGCTGCAGGTTTGATTTCTGGCCACTGTTTGTTCCGCAGAGTGTCGATATAACCCGCCATCTGCAATTCTGTTGGGTTCATCTTGTCCAGGAAAGAGTTCACTTTCCTGGAGGAGAAAACAACCAGAAGTCACTCGAGGATCCACACGCTCTAATCAAAACTCTGTAAAAAGATTCATCACTAAAACACACTTACTTTTTCAAGATGGGCGTAAAAGGTTTCAAAATGGCATCAAATATGTTCACGAGGATGGAGTTTCCTGTTGAAACAGACAGTGTGTTTTTGCATGTTAAAGCTTAGTTTAGTAAAATTGGATTTACTGTATGGAGAGAATTGACTTGATCAAAGACAGGAGCAGCAAGTCAGTAATAATATAGATTAATATGGGTTTGTCATGACTAGAATTTTTTTTTAAAGTGGTTCAGACTACTCAATTTTTCCTTACTATCTTCCAGCCTGTATGATTAAGTATCTACATTTCAGGACATGAAGTCACCAAACTTTTCTTTTCATCACATCAATGTTTGATTATGGCTCTCTTCTGAAGCTACAAACTGCCAACACTTGATTGTTCTAGCTTGTCACTGCACACAAATGCACCACCCTTTTTCTAATACCAGTGCATGCTTTCACATCAAGATACCACATGATGGTTAATAAAAACAAACCACATTGCAAAGGATTAGCTTTGTCAGGCGAGTGCCAGGTCTCTACAGGTTTGAAGACTTTAGGAAAAATGCATTAATCAATTTAAAGGTTGCAGTATGTTAAACAAAAAGAATGGCCCTGGTAAAATCCTGCAGGCCATAAAAGGGATAGTACATATATTGTGTATGGCTCGCCAAAAGTTAGGAGAAACAACATCCACAGCAGTACATTACTTTACTTCCTTGCAGTATAATGTGACCATGGACAAGAACCTCAACACATCTTAACCATTTTTTGAATGCCTTAAATAGTTTAAACAAACCAGATATTTCCTTCAGCAGATCAAATATGGCTTTGGTCGCTTCTAGCTGCTCCAAGTTGACTTGGCTCTTCTGACCCTGGAGGTCCTCCCCCCGTGGAGAAGTGACCTGGTCCTTCACTTTAGCCTTATGCGCTGCACCTGCCATCCTAAAACATGATTTCTCCCTTTTATGTGACTTTGCACTGAAATGAAGCCAGGATGGTCCATCGGGGCTGTCCCCCTGCATGCCTCCATTTTGGCTGCAGTGAGGCGTGGAGATGGAGTCAGGCGGGTCTGTGTCACTGCCGTTTTTTGTCGAGTTAAGAGACTCTTGTGACCTGGATCGACTCAGACCTTTAAACATGAGTTTAAAGTGAGAGGTTAAAGGGTTATCGCACTCCTCCGTTTTGTCTTGGGTACTGTTTTTGTTTGAAGAGTCACAGTTAGAAGCAGACCGAGGCTCAATGTCTGTTTCTTCTTCCTCCGGCGGTTCAGAAGGAGAGTCATATTCTGAGATAACAATAGTAGGGATTGAAGCATCAGGAACATCACTGCCCTTCTCAGTAGAGGCAGCAGCGGTTTCTGAAGGCAGAGCTGTTGATTCTGGATGCAGAAACGGTGTTATGATGTCTTTGGGGGCCTCTGTCTGTGGGCTGGAGGTCTGCAGAGAAAACAAAGCAATCAGCTTGTGACAGCAGACCCTGAGGCACCAGCCTCACAGAGCGGCTAACACCAGCAGGGAACTAATCCATAAATATATCTGTTCAGCAAGACTCCACTCCACGGTATAACACATGTAGTTGGATTTACAAGGAATGCAACACAGCAGAGTGATATCAACTACTGTAGACTATATTTTAACTAAAAAGCTTGTGTTTAAAACAAGAGATGCATAATTTAAAAGCTATCAGTGTTGAGCATGGGTGCCAGTTCTCATGAAAGATGCTGTAAGGTTACATTGTTGGAAATGCAGGGTCTATGTTATTCCAGCTTGAGGCATAACAGGGGTTAAAAGTCAGGATATCCTCACCCCCAGTTGAATCTCTGATTGATTTGGTTTTATTCATGATTTCATTGGTTATAATAAAGAAACTGCTAAGTCTGAAAACACAGGGTAAGGAAGGAACATGAGCAGTCAGAAAATCAGAAAGTTTATAATACCCCCCGAGCAATAAGAATTAGTCACCATCACAGGTCTTACGTAAGAACCACAACACCGTGGATGTATCAATACACAGCACAGTTAGGCTAGTTAGGATTCTTAAAATGTAAGTGAGATAGAGGATCGATGAGTCAGGCTGACAAAACTAACATAAACACCTATTGATTAACTGATAATCATATAAACAAACTCTCTGCTCCTGCACTTTCTCTGCTGCATAAGCCAACTGCACCTCCTCATCCCCACATACTGTAGATGTCAAAAGGTTTCATGCTTTTTGGGCGTTTGTGCTTCAAAATGGTAAAAAGAGTATGGCTTAATTGGGGCGCTGTCCATAGTACCGAAACGAGCGGGCAGCAAAGATCACTAAACAGACGGACAGAAATCGTCACGTCACGGTTTCATACTCTTACTGCTCGCTTTTGATGGTTATAAATAGAACTTTCCCCTCATTGTAGAAATCCACAGAGAGAAGGGAAATGGGAGGGAGGTGAAGTAAAAAAACTACTAACGAGTGAGAGAAGGGGTAGGAGTGATTCTTTTTTTGTTTTAAAAACAATCTTTATTCAAAAATGTATTTAAACTCTCAACATTATTCTCATGTCAATTAATCAAACGCATCATTAAAGTCTAAATCTTCTCCAACGATAGAAAAATATTGTATCCTTGTAGCGCCACTGTTTGAGAAACCCATCAATGTTGTCCATTACTTTGTAAAACCTCAAAATCAACCCAGACTTTTACTAAAGCCAGGAAATACTTCCTGCCTGGTCCTGATTCTCCCCTCTGTTCTTCCTGCTGCTGTAGACAGACATTTTGGCCTGTCCTACATTCAGGTTAAGGAGCTGACACAGAGAGGCCTCAAGAACAGCTGATTCTTTGGGCCTCCACTTGCCAATTTAGAGAATTCAACTCAAATGATCTTTTTGAAAATATAAATAAATAACGCTTTGTTTGTTATGATGTTAGTTTAATTTCAGCTAGCTCCAGACACTTTGTATTGATGTTAGTTTAATTTCAACTAGCTCCAGACACTTTGTATTCATGCATTCCCTGACTCTCCCTCTGACCTGCTGGGAATCTCATGCACACACTTTCTTATCAACTAAAAATAAGATTTTTTAAGGCAAATTAGTTACCGATAAAGCCAATGTCTAAAACCAATATCTCGCAACCCCCTAGGGCTCCCGACCTCTAGGTTGAGAACTACTGTAACAGGTGATGGAGAGGCTTATTGCAGGTTAACAAGGTCATTTTGCCAACAGTCGGGATGGCATACCTCCTCATATAGCCGACTGATTCTGTGTGTGCAAACAACCATGAGAAATAGGTCAACACGGCACAAGGTCTGTAAACTGTGCAGGAGGTTTACATTGGAGAGTTTGTGTTGTGATTTTACGATTCATCTTTTTGTTCTCTCTCCTGGGAGTTTTTTTAATCCACGTCTGATCATCTCAGAGTTATTTTATCTGCAGAGACTGAAGCCCTCTGCCTGCATTTCCCTTTTTCTTTCATTCTGCTTTGTTCGGGATTTGACCGGGTGCCAACCTCTATAAAAATGTAGCACCGAGGTGCCAGATCGTAGCAAGAGAGAGTGCTTGCCCCACGGGAACGCATACGGCAAAACGCATAGGATTAACGCAATCGCAAAAAAACTTCCGTCCACACGCAATATACACCGGATAGTGTCTGTTCACACGAGACAGCTCCATTTAGCTCCAACCGCTGGAAAAAGCTGCAGTACATATGCCGAGCCTGTACGTGGCGCTGTAACTTCCTCCAGAAAAAGCAGCGAAGAAGCATGGTTGTCATGGTTGCGCTTCTGTTTATTCACCGTGGTGGGGGCCGAGGGAACCGGGCAGAGTTTTTCGACGGTCAACGTTTGTAAAAATTTAAATCTTCCGGACAAAATTATAAAAGTGCCGGTCAAAGGTCTTCTTTGTTATTTATTAGGCTTTAAAACAAATGAATAACGACTATATATATATATATATATATATATATATATATATATATATATATATATATATATATATATATATATATATATATATATATATATATAATAATAAAATACACGGAGCCTGTCCTCTCTTTTTCCTCTCTTCTGACAGTGTCAGTGTCTGTCTCATCCAGCAGCTGATCCAGTAATGAGTGACCCGGCCGACAGTAAAAAATAAACATATTTATAACTAGTTTAGTTTGAGAGGTAATTAAAATAGCTAAGGGTGATGATCTGACTTGAAGTGTGTGTTTTGCTCCCGCTGCATCACAGCGGGAGGAGCTGCGTGTCTCCGTCCTGTCAGATTAGACTTCACTCGCGTTTATGTCCATATCGAGATAAAGATAAATAATCTGAAATCAGTGTGCAGTGTACTTTTGCGGGGGTGAGCAGCAGAGGTGGGGGGAGGCAGGGCTATTGCGTCATCATTATCACAAAATGATCATATAGAGGCGATCACACGGAGCCGTTGGACCCCCCCAGAGCGCTCCGTTCCCAGATCTATCCACCTTTGGACCCGTTGTCGTTTGCGGGGTCTGTTTCTATCGTTTAGTTACGGCCTCGTGTGGCAAAAAGGGCTATATGCAAGAGAAATATGCGGAGACAACCCGTTTTCGTCCTCGTGGGGCACCAGCCTAAATCTGGTGTTGGTTTCACAGGCTGTGGAGCAGCGTAACCCCTGTTGAGCCGGGGCCAACGTTTTTGTTGACAGACCACACTCATCGCGCCTCTAAGATGTAGACTTAAAGAAAAGCAAATATGTAAAACTTTACCTCCTCTTCCTCCTGACTTGGAGTCAGGAAATAAGCCAGGCCGCTCAGGAGGCCCCACACGCCTCCGTAATGTTCCTCCTCGTTCAGCAGCTTGTCGAGTGGGCACAGGAACTGAAAAACTGGTTGAGTTTGGCTGATCAGATTAGCAGAAACTAACGCCTGGAAAAGAAATGAAGAAAATGTTGAGTCATGATTACAGTATGATTGAAGTGTTTATCTGCCAGCACATCTAAGTTTAATGTTGTCTATACCTGCAGAAAGTGCTCCACTGATACTCTGGCTTCTTCTTTGACCTCAGCGTTGACCTCCCACTTCTGCAGCAGCAGGATCGTGGGCAGGCTGGTCGAGTCCTAACAAAAAAAGAAAGAGGAAAAATATCATTTTATGACAAGACAGCCTCAAGACTGAACAGTGTTTGGTCAACCCCGCTGTTTTTTATATCTGGCAAAAGAATAAAACTGTATCCCTCATGACAGCACGTTCAATAAGCTGGGAAAAGTTGTGGTTTGTTTTCACAACAATGCCTCTCCCTCTGGCTCATGCTAGACAGTAAGTGGTCAAAACAACTCTTATCTGAAGTCAAAGGGAAAAAGTCCTGACAACCAGAAGTTCTTCTTTTATGAGTGGGGTCTAGGGGGGATTTATATACGGTGGGCGGGGGTTGAGAGTGTGGAGATGGAGTTGGGAGGAGGGTGAAGAGACAGAAAAGAGTGAGTTAGGACGACCCAAGAGGGGCGTACTAAAAAAATGATTTGAAGAGATTTAAGTTATTATACATTCATGATTTAACTGTAAATCACTGTGGAAACTACAGAGAGCATCTGCATGGAGACGACAGGGCCTCACAGGAGGGCAAGCAAAAAGAATATACTGCAGTACATTTGGTATTTAGCAGCTCCTTACAATGTGTACATTTCACTGTCGATAGGCATAGTCTAGCAGTGACTACAGCAACTTTAATATAGAAATGTAAAGCCGGAAAAATGTGAAAGTCTCCATGTTGTTTTTGGAAAGAAGAAGTGACAAAGAGGATGGAGACGATTACAAAAAAAATGCTGAACAAGACGTTTCTAGGCAACAAAATGTAACTCATAACTATCATGTCGCCCTGCTAGCCATTAGAGAGAATACACTTGTTTCAGGTGGTTATACAGAAACAATAACAGAATTGTGAAAATTATATTCAATTTCTGCCAATAGATTCCCCTAAATCCTACACATTTGGACTTTTAAACTGATAATATACAGAATAATGGCAAAAAAATATTTTATCTGCCTTTTACCTGCCATCTGTTGCGGAAGTATACGACATCCATGTATGTCTTCTTGATGTCCCACTGCAGGTTCTCCGGGCTGCCCTTCTCCTCCAGGTGAAAGGTGAAGATTAGCTCCTCGCCATCCCACTCAGCCTATAACAAAGTCAACTGCTGCTCAAACATTAACATACCATCCAAGGACAACGTTTTAAAGAGCCTCAGCAGACAGATAACGAGCCTCCGGGACATTCCTTACTGTCACGGATATTTATAACTCACATGAGGGATGCTGACAGCCCAGCTGCCAGCGCGCCACATCTCATACGACAACCTGAATTCCATCATGTCCTCTTGGACGCTCATCAAGTAGTCCTCCAGATCACTGTCCTCCTTATGGTGTTTACACAAAAAAAAAAATTGAATAATACATTTTAAAAATCACAGTGAATCCGTCATGTTTCACAACTAATCCTCTTCAGTTTGAGGCGAGGTGCAGCAGCCTCACCCTGTCAGAGTCGTGCGGGCTGTGGAGCGAGCCCTCTCTGCTGTTGACGTTGTCCTCGTTGGACGCCAAGACCCTCAGCACCAGGTCTTGCTCCATCTTCTTCATCTTCTTCTTTTTGGCCTTCTTAGATTTTACCTTTTCCACAAATTTAGACCATCCTTCTTTTAACTTGTTGGCTGAAAATGACAACAACCACATGTAAAAAGTCAGAGATAATTCCACAACTTGTTACTGCCTCGTAGCTCTTTTCTTTATTGTGTAAATTACAGCACTGAAAAAACAGTGTCCCTTTCTGATGAACTGATTCATGTACATGGAGAGAATACAAATGCATTCTACCTCAACCTTGATCATCACAACAATCTGCATATTGTTTTTCTCTAGTGAGAAACTATTCACCATGATCATTAGGCATGCAAGCATGTAAGTATAATTAGTAATCAAAAGTGAATTCTTATTATCAATGTGATGGACTAATAATGAATAAATATCCCAGGATCGAGGTACGACTTACAGATTACTACAAATGATGATGTTTATGATGCGATCACAATAGAAAATACATACGTTTGTCACATCACAGGGTTCATTATTGTCATGGCATAATCGCTTCGTATTAAGCCTTCATTACGGTTTGATTGTTTACAATACAAAGAAAGGAAGGGCACAGACATTATTTGGCATTCAGCCTGTCAGCTGTGTGTGTAATTAGCTGTCTGTACCAACAAACAGAACAAAGAAACAAGGGATTGATTAGACATGTAAAGAAAATTACACTGTCATGTAGTTGACACAACTTGCAACACATTGCTGTACACAAAACGGTTTGTACAAAATGTTATGCAAGCACAGGCCACTCCTCAAAACAACCACAAACTACTCTACCTGCCTGCCTAATATGAATTGTTTTACACTCAAAGCTTAAAAAGGTTAGAATAACATCCTACAGTGTCAAAGAGCTTTGAATTAAACAGGCTTTTAAATAACAACAACTCCAATCACAACACCTTTTCTTTTGGTCTTGATCCTGCTGGATGAAATCCCTGCTCCCTCCAAGCTCCTGGAAATGAATAAATAAGAAAACAGACACCAAACTAAATCAGGTCAGTTCCAATTTAAAAAACACAGAAGGTGTCTCATGCAGCCTTTGAGGCTCACTGTGACTAGGTCAAGCCAGCTGGGGGGAAAGATGACAGCCACTCACGCTTCACCGCCCTCTCCCTCCTGCGAAGCCAGAGAGTTTTGATCCGGGTCAGACCCACACAGCTCCTCCTCGGAGCCTTTGGGAGTCACACGGTCCAGCTGGTTCACCACCAGCTGGTTCAGGTTGTCGGGGTCCGACAGCCATGTCACCAGCAGGCCCAGCCCTGAAGAGAACAGAAAATAATCCACCAAGCTCTGTTTGCCACATTAGCATAAACACACTAATATCATGAGGCACGATTTTCACTTTTCACAAAAGCAGTTTAGTGAAATGAGTCATGTTTATGGTTTTTCCTCGTCTTAACACAGCTGCAGTCAGTAATATAGCTAAAAGAGCTTCCTCAATGATTAGCTTTAAAATGATTTGACAAAATGTGCCTTCATGTTATGAGTTGGCAGCAGTCAGTTATTTTAGCATAAAATCTGACTGGAAACAACTAGCTTGTCTCTGCAATGGGAACAAAATCCACCTACCAGCTCATCTAAAGTGTACTAATGTACATGCAGTACTGTTGTTTGTTTATTCTGTATAAGAAAGCAAATATTTGTATTTACAGGAATGTCAAAATATGAATTTAAATTTGGCAAATGAGTTCCTTTGAATCGTTTTTTTTTGTACTTCTAATGTGTTGTGTAGTTAAGAATAAGTGGTACAATACATGATTTTCATTTTGACTGTGAAATCAAAGCTCTGGATAATTTGCCAAATGTTCTGAATTAGTGTTAACAATCAAATATTGAGTTCATATCAAAACTATTTAGTTAGAAATAAGCTGTTTCCAGCTGCCAAGATATCCATTTCATATTTTAAATACAGCTGTCAAAATCACTCATTGTAACTGAGCTACACGCATTATGACAAAACCTACTGCACTGCAGATTTGCCACAAGATAAGACATTTTATCTATTCTAAAAAGGATTAGACAGAACCCTAAAGGAAATTGGCACATCACTGCGGAAGTGTGCCTTCCCTTTTCATGCTCTAAACTGTACTATGCCACTGACAATAAGGCAATAAGGGATTATACACAAATCACACTTGTAAAAGAAGCTCTGGTGGGCTTTGTCCTTATGTAAGAGTGTATTCCTGCAAAGAGATAGTTTGATGGTTCCTTACCCTTTAAGGCAACAATCTCATTTAAGGCACAGCGGTTGACTTCATGGCCCCAGAGAGGTTTTGGGAAAAGGTTACGTACTAGAGCATCAGAAAAATCCCGGAGGACTGCGATCTCCTCTGCTCTGGAGCTGAACAAGAGTTCCCTGAAACAGAGAGCAAGGGTGATTATTACAGGAAGTACTAGAAATGACTGTTGATGTTTAATCTTGATCTGATGCTTGATCCAACAATAAAAGGGGCCCTATAATGCTCATATGCAGGTTCATATTTGTATTTCATGTGTCCATGCTTTAATGTTCAAAAAGCTCTTTTTTTTTCTCATACTGCCTGTGCTGCAGCATGTTTTTTCATCCTCTGTCTGAAACCAGAGCCCAGTCTGATCTGATTGGTTAGCTAGCCGGCTCTGTTGTGATTGGTCAATCGCTTAGAGATGTCCTGCCCTTAGCCACATGTACAATGTGTTGAAGCGCTAGCCAATAGAACAAAAACTCACTCTGGAGGGAACTTTGGGATTTTAGCCTTTGCAGACCATTTACATGCACAAACTAATAAAACTACAGGAAAGAGAAAATGCAAAAAGCCTAATAAGGCCTCTAAATCTGATGTACTGTTGAAAACACCATTCTGCATTTAAGGTCCCATCATATGCTTTTCTGGTTATTCCCCGTCCCCTTGTGTGTTATGTAGCTTTTTCTGCATGTAAACAGTCTGCAAAGTCACAAACCCTCAAAGTACACCCTGTAGCGAGTAAAACTCTAACACAGAAAAGACCTGTCTATGCCCCAGAACGCCTCGTTGGACATTTTTCTTTTTCCATTTTTTTCTTCCGGGAAAGGTTGACGTCACTCTAAACCAGGGGTTTTCAAAGTGTGGGAAGGTGAGCCTCCCCTCAGAGAACATAAGAACAGCCGCGCCCCCCCTCCCAATTATTATTGCTATTATTATTGCTGTTGTTACTATAATGCAGGGGTATTCAATTGCATTTCAAAGAGGTCCAGTGAGAGAAAATGTCAGTAAATGCTCTGTTTTTGCTGTCTACCTTTCTCTTTTTCGAGCACGCCATTTGAAATGACTCTCTTCTTGTCTTGTCTCTGTGTGTTTGAATCTATCGTGCTCACTGACTGCACCGATTTGATTGGCTGAGTAGCGGCACCTCCTTAAAACATTAAACAACTTTTTAAAACCTTTTTATCTTTATGTTTTAAACTTATGTTTTAAACATTTTTAACATTTGCAACATCGTGGCTAAATCCTTATATGCTCCCGGCAACACACTGAACGTCAACTTTGCCTCCTTATTACACTCACCCCTACTTTAGTGGGAACAATGAGTCTGCGTCTTTGATGCGCACAGGCGGATGATGCGGGGATGCAATGTAGACAGGAATAAACGCAGATCATCCTCTGGCTGCAGCCTTGACCGGTACTTGCTTTTGATCAAAGTACGTATTATTTCAAATAAAGGGCGGTGCCGGCCGTCAACGGCCTGCTGACGACCAGCCGTTCAGTGATTCTCCAGAACACACAGATGGCCAGTCGGCCCCTGCCAGGACCGGTCCATGAAAATCCTAGCTTCAAATAATCGAGGTCATACTTCCTCCGTTTTCTGCCAGACGCTGTCTCCTCTCTCACTTTAGGTAGGCTAACTTCACAAAAAATGTACCGCTCCATGTTGCCGCTCGCATAAAGCTGGCTGAAGTTAACTAGCTAGATTTCACTGTTTCTCGTTATTTTTTTCTCACGCTGCGCCTCCCCTGAAGCTCTCTGGTGCCCCCCGCGGTGCTCCGCAAACACACGGAGCTCAGGCTGTGAGTGAGTGTGTGTGCGCTCAGGCTGAGCTCCGTGGTGTCTCGCTATCTCGCAGACCCCACGCAGCAACCAGGAAACGACACCAGTAATCCAGCTCACACTGTCCGCTCCTCGAGCCTCAAAGGGCGGAGCAGCGAGCCCCGTAACGTCCCGCCAACACGGCACCCAGACCCCACGCAGCAGCATTTTCATCTGTTTGTCATTACTGGTGTCATTTTCTGGTTGCTAACAAACACCATTGTAACACATAAACACTGATGTTCCGCTGTAACGGTGGTGGACTAATCAGAACAGAGTGGGCGAGCTGACCAATCAGAGCACACTGGGCTCATAGGGAGGGGGGGGGCAGGAGCTCCAACAAGGCGTGTAGGACAGAGAGTGAATACACATACTATACAGAGATGCTGTATGAGAAACCAATGTGATTTTGGAACATTGAACAATGTAAATCTATTCTAGTAGACCTCAACAATGGAATTATGATCAGTAGAAATGGCCATGACATGGGACCTTTAAAGCAACTTTTAGGATGTCACTGCAGGTATGATCTTGGAAAAGTAAGGTAAATAATTCACAAGTGATACAACTGTGGAGGTTTATAGAGTTAAGAAACATAACTGAGTAACAGAAGCAGCATGAATCAGAGAGAGAGTAGGCGTCACCTGTCAGCCTGCTTGGCATTATGTAAGTACTGGGTCAGAATACGAACAGAGCCCACGACCGCCTGGCAGACATCAAAGTCTTTGGCTCTGTCGATGATCCGGTCTATTACAAAGCCGAACTCTCCGCTGAGCACCTGGTGCAGAGGCTGCTGCTCGCGCTGCTCAGGAACGCTGTACCAAGGCAGGACCAGCTGGGCGTAGGCACATTCGAACACTGAGGACAGCAGTCACAAAGAGAAAATTCACTTTCACACAAAACTCCCACGCTCTTCTTCTGAACATCAAACTCGAGGACTGCAGCGAAATTCATTTCATTTTTCATTTGTTCCAATTATGGTAATGCAAAGCTCCGGAAAAAATAAAAGAGAATTCACATTCAGAACACAACACTTTTGACATACGCAATTAGGGCTGCAAGTAACAAATGCATTCAATATTAATCAATCTGCCTAATATTATCTACATTAATAGTTAATGTCATAAAATAGCAAAATATGTCCATCCGGGTTTGTCAAATTCCAAAGAGGTGTCTTTAAATGTCATGTTTTATCAGGCTATAAGCTAAAGATGTTCCGTTTAATATGATATATAACACAGAAAAGCTAAAATCTCCAAAAGTGAGAGGCTGAAATTGCATGAAGAATTACTCTCAGGATTATACGATTATCAAAATAACAACAGGGAGCAGTGGGAAGAAAAATATTGCCTTCACTAACTCAAAGCATAAACAACAGAATGAAATGGCATGTCAATGTTAACGTATTTAAAGCTTTTATGGTGAAATTCAAGCTGACTGTAGCCTTGAGAAATGTGACTGGAGAGGACATGAACTGTGTTTAAAGTCAATTATTATTCTCAAAGAATATGAGCGCCAGCTATGCTATAAATCTTAAATTCTAACCCCAACCAAATTAATAAACACTGCACAAAAAGGAAAGCGGAAACTGCTGATAATGAAGAATCACAAATCTAATTTCCCATTTAGCACATTGCAGCCTTATCCATACTGTACTGGGAGGGTGTGTTTTTCATCCTTTACTGTACATTCTTTTCTTAAAGCCCCTCCTCACTCCATGTAACATGAGCTCCAGCTGCAGCCGTGTCTATGCAAAACTGTCCTTTACAGAAGTGAAATGTGCTGACAAAACACCCTGGGGTCAAGAGCAGAACCTTGATTTACTTTTTCTTTCACATTTGTATAAAACGTTTACCAGAACTGTACAGTAAAATGTGTTAAACCCCCTAAAATAAAATGTTCCACGGTTAGACATGCCTCACCTTGCTGTAGAGAAGTCTTCACATGTGGATACTGAGACTCCAGAGGTTCAGCATGCACGCTGCTTTTTGCAAAGTTACATAAATCACCAAACAACTGTCCCTCAGCAGCTTCCTTGAAATAAAACAAAACCACGACTCATAAACCACGATATGAAAAGATAAAGAGTAAAAACTGTAGCATCAGTATGTGCTGAACTCCATGTGAGATGAGTGAAAACAAGTTCTCCAGGCCTCAGTAGGAAACATGCACGTCAGGCTATGATTGCAAATACTTCAACACATAGTTGATTTTACTGACATGACAAGTGTACATACTTGACTTTAAGAGATGTGACTGTCTAACACACATTTAATACTAATATTAACAGCCTTATCTCACTTAATACAGGATATACAACGGTTAAAAGTGCCATCATCATGTGATGTACTCTAATGCATCTCACGCTCACATATTAAATATTTGACTCAGTTTCGATCATGCAACACTGCTCGTAAAAGCAACCATTTACTGCAATAAAAGTTGTAGCCAAAAACAAATCGATTTAATACCTGGAGTGGATGTTCCGCTGTCTCTTCATCAGTCTGAGTGCTGCTCTCTTTTCCACTGTTTTCGAATAAAAGTGAAGAAGAAAAACAAAAGAAGATACACAAAATGTACTGAGTCACCGAGCGACCGCAGTCTGAAAAATACCACACCAAGCCCAGGGTTATGGCGATGGAGAAGCGCCATAAATACATGTTCTTCTCCTACAAGAGACTCTTTCTGCTGGTAGCTCTCACTCTGAGCCGATGTGCCGTGAACATAGCCGGAGCCGGTGTGTTCCCCCACATCTTTTAACACCGAGAGCAGCACGGTGTTTCCTTGAAACAAACACGAAGTGAAACGGCGGAGAAAAGGGGAACTTTATCAAACTGGTTAATGCGGAGCTGTGATTGGCTGCAGGAAGTCCCCGCGTGCCTGTTGTTGATTATAACCGGATGCCATCGACACAGGTCTCTGAAGTCAGCAGGGAGGGACATTAGGGTAGACTTCTACTAAACTGAGAAAAATCCACCTTTTACTTCGTTCGCTATACTTATGTAGGAGCTTAAGCTATTTCAAAGATAGAGAAATATATATAAACTATTACACTATGGTGTATTAAGACAAGTGTGAGTAACTGAAATGATTCCCACCTTTTACCTTTACCATCTGTAACAAATTATGAACACATAATGCATCACTCATTATAAAACAATTACATCATACAAACTATTCTGAAATGAATCATCTTCATACTGATTACTTTTGGGAGAGTCAATCAAATATGATGGTAATACGTTTTGACTTGATTTAAATGGATGACTTTTTACCTTTATCATATTATTTCTATAATGTGGTATTGCTACAAAATCTTGTTATGATGATGTTCATCTTTCTTTTTACAATTTCTTACAGTAAATAAGTGTGAAAAATCCACTTCTAACTTTTTATAGTAGTTGTAATTCTCACTATATTTATTTATAAGCACCAAAAACACCCATGCAACTTGGCAATGAATTTGATTTAAGGTAGCAGTAGACAGGTGAAGGCCACAAGGTGGAGCTAACACTGCTCTCTACATAAATGAACAGCACAGTTGATCACAAAACTGCTTTGATTTTGACCCATACAATGAAAGGGTTTGATCTGAATAACATACATCTAACTCTATTAAACTAAATCACAACAAATAAGATACTTTTGAGTGTAAATTACACAACGAAGCATGGCCAATTGCAGACTGTCAAAAAATGTCTGTTAATGAGGATGTTAATTACAAATATTAAGAAAGGCAGTAAATAACATTTAGAAATTGTTAACCATTACTGAAAATATCACAATATTCATGCATGAGGTAAAAAGATAATCTCCAAACTAAAGACAGACCTAAGAGGCATGTCATGTGATGCTTAATGTGATTCCAATGTGATGCTCTTAACATCATAAATACAACTATTGGCAGAATGACTTCGTACTGATAAAGCTATGATATAATCAGCACACTCTCTGTTGAAACTAAAGGGCATCACATTATGCGGGACAATCAGAAATCATTATGCCTATAAACTGAAGAGATCAATGATCTAACTGAGGGTTTTTCCTGATTAGTGGAGATCAGTGAGGTTACACAGCTCACACTGTGCTTTTGTTTTGAAGGGCTGACGCTCCAGTGATCTGCAGACCTTCATACACACACACACACACACACACACAAACACACACACACACACTCACACACACACACACACACACACACACACACACACACACACACACACACACACACACACACACACACACACACACACACACACAGTGGGGAAATGTTCATAGAAATACATAAACTCAGATAGCAAAGTAAGATATTTGAGATACTTGTTTTTAAGTTGAATAATACTTCCCAATCATTCAGGGGAAAATATTTTACTTTTGGATTTTTCTACACTACATTATTTTGACACTTAACAATAAGATTTAAAATGTAAAACAAACGATGAGCTTACAAAATATGTTGCATTGTTTGATTCACGTACACATGAATGCGTTATTAAAAGTACATACTAGTACATTTCCCTGTGTACTGTTGTATTTTTACATACAGTACGTAATATTAAATTAATTGTAATTTGAATAGAAATAATAATCAGAAGATATAGTATGATATGGTAGCATTATAATGACAGGGGCCATACAGCCAACTAATGAGTACCTTTCATTTTGATACAATTTGAGTACATTTGTGTACATTTTCGAATGCAGTGAAGTATTTTTACTTCAGTAAAGGATACTTCATCCACAACTGGGCCAGAGCATCTTAACTTCAAACACAAAGGAGTAGCAGCAAGTGTTTGGACAGTTTTTGCTATATTGGAGCACTTATGTTGAGGGAAATACTTGCAGCAGAAGAGGAGCAGCATTTACAACACTTACTTACACTCCCACTTTCTGGTTTAGTCTGCTGTCATCTACAAAGGCTGAGATGCAGACTTATGTATCTTAATAATAAGGAAGTCTGAAGGAAGATTTTACAAAGGCTGAAAACGGTGCATAAACAGAACTTATATCAAAGTGTTGATGCCTTTAAAATACTAAGAAATATTAATGAATTCAAGCGCATTTTCATTGCAGCCTAGCAAAATAAATACACACTGAAAATGTGTGTACGACAGTTGTCTGACTCCTCACCCCGCCTTGAACTCCAGGACGCACAGCGTGACTAAAGCCACAGACAGTTAGTGGTTTCACATTCACTAATCCTTAAAAAAGTTGTAATGGAGCAGCCGTAGAAAGAGGCTTGCCTAATGAAGGATTAACTGTGCTACCTGCTGAGAGGGACTTTTATGGATGTAGGGGTCAAAAGCAGTATTAAAACTGATTTCCCTGGGTTGGCACTTTCGTCCAAGACTTTCTGAATCACTGAAAGGAGATTAGACAACGTCCAGCTGAGTAAACCATGTAATCTGATAGTGTTGCTAAAATGAGGCTGGCCCCCATTCAGGATCAGTCTGGGTTCAGTGTGCAATTGTGTCTGCACACTACAATGTGTGCTTTAAGCACAATCTCAATTAATGACATTTTTCTGTCTTTCTCTGTCGAGTTAACCAATTTTCTGCATACTCTCCCATATTATATGTCCTTTTATGCTTTGTAAATCAATAAGAAACATTTATTTGTTTTATCATAATGTTTTAATCTCCTTTGCTAATGATTTTTGGTTTTTCAGGTGATCCATAAGAGATGAGTGACAAAGAAAAATACATGAGGTAATTTATCTTTTAATAAATTCTAAGAGGGAATAATTGCTCTAAGCTTGACTAATAATTTGTTCTATTATATAACGTATTTTCATAGACTCCATTTCTGCAGTCACATTTTCAATAGGATCTCAGCCATTTCTCCAAGACATTGGTAATAAGAATGTCAGACTAGTAGTATAAACATCTTCATAATTTAAACATCTTGTTATTTTTTTATCTTGAAATGGATAGATAATATTCTCTGGGGGTAGCAGTTCTTTAATTGGTCAATGAAAATGTCTGAAGACTGATCAAAGCTGCCAAGTGGCCTGGCGGTGACCTCATACTCAGCATGCAGTTGATTATTCAAAGTAAGTATATTAGTGAAATATCAATGTGTCAGAGTCTCAATAGTTTAGCTTTATGTTGCTGTAGACAGTTCTACAGTAGGGTATTAGGGCCAGGCCTAAGGGGGAAATGAGAGGAGGAAAACTATAATTTTATTTGAATTTGGAGAAAATATATATATATATTTATTTTCCTTCTGGCCTTCATAATCTTCTGTATACTTCAGATGTCAAGTAGAGAAAATGTGCTTAGTGTTTAGAGTTGTTTTGACACTATAGGTCCCATATTTAGACAGGCAGCACGAGGACAGAGACTGCAATCTGCTTTTACAAAATGACACACCCTGGTTAGAGAGCCAAAAGCACGTCCTGTGTACGCTTCTTCAAATCTGGCATGATCATGTATCAGCAGGAATTTCATTTATGACGCGCAACACTTACACAAGCCTCAAAAACATCTAGTTGTCCATTGATTTGTTTAGCTTTAATGCAGCTATTATTTAATTTGTGTGCATATTAATTGAATAAAGATCTATAGATCAGACGATTATAAATAACTGGAGCAGGTGTGTCGTACTGGTGAATGGTCAAGGTTAAGTCCTCAGTCCCACCAGTTGTAGTCCGAAGAGACTTGAAAGTATATTTAGAAGGTCGGATTAATCCACCCCCCAACAGGTAATCCTGGTTTCTTTTCTGCAGGAAGCCACCTCCTTAACTGTTAATATATCTGAACAAAACTGGTAAGACTCCGGACTTCTTTACTATCACTTTTCTGCAGGCATGCCTTGGTTGATAGACTGTCAGGTCAACTTTCTCAGCTGATTTTGGCCCGCTCCGAACTACAACTACGACCTCGTGTCTCTAAAATTACATTTCATACAGGAGGCTGCCAAATGTTATTCTGAAGCAACACGGCTGAGGATGTGAGCTGCCAGGACTCTCAGTCACTCTGTCTGTAATGGTATAACTTTATACATGACATGAAATTACAAAACCAGGCAGAAAATTCACTTAGTAGGTTGCGTTTATTCCTCTATTTTACGGCAAGATTTCCTGTGTTCAGGGAAAGGGCCAAGAGAAGAGAGCATAACAGATTCCCCCAGTACAACTAGTAGGTAATACTAGCTGGTCCCTATGAATATAGGATGTAATTTACATTTTTCCAAATGTACAAGATATGTTACAGTTAAACTTCACAAAATGAACAGTGGACATACAAAAACAACTTAGATGACTTTCTTAAGCTCGTCATACAAGACAAGCACGAAGGCGCCACCCATGCCTCTGAGCACGTTAGACAAGGCTCCCTTGAAGAAGGCCTTGCCGCCCTCGTCACGGGCGATCTTCCTCCAGCAGTCCATGGTACCAGAGTACATGATGTCGGCTGAGGGGGAGACAGAAGAAGACACACATTTGTTCTAGTAACACAGCAGCAAAAGCAGAAAGCTGTTTGTGTATATGTTGTGCTTTCTACCTCCTTTGCGTCCAGACTGCATCATCATACGACGACGGACAGTGTCGAAGGGATAAGACACAAGACCAGCGACCGCAGTCACAGACTGAGCAATCATCCAGCTGACAAGAATTGAAGTGTTCTTGGAGTCTGGAAGCATGCCTGTAGGAGAAACAATAATCAGGAAGGTCAAGTAAAACCTAAGAAGCAAGGAAGTCCACAGAGACAAGATGTTTCAAGCTGTGCAATGCCTGATAATTAAAACTCACCCTTTGCCGTGTCGTAGACGCCAAAGTAAGCCGCTCTGTAGATGATGATGCCCTGCACTGACACACTGAAGCCCTGGTACAGACCCTTGATGCCATCAGACTTGGTGATCTTCACCAAGCAGTCGGCCAGGCCTTTGAACTCGCGACCCTTTCCAGATGATGTACCGACGTCGGCACCCAGACGTGTTCTGGCGAAGTCGAGCGGGTAGACGAAGCAGAGTGACGTGGCTCCGGCGGCGCCACCAGACGCCAGGTTACCTGCAAAGTATCTCCAGAACTGTTTGCGCTTGTCCACGCCGTCGAGGAAAACTTTCTTGTACTTGTCCTTGAAAGCAAAGTTGAGGGCCTGAGTGGGGAAGTATCTGATGACGTTGGCCAGATTCCCTCTCCAGTACGCCAGGAAGCCCTGTTCTTTGGGGATACGGACCACGCAGTCGATGATGCCCTTGTACTGCATGTCCACCGTAATCTGTTTGCTGGCATGTTGAACCTGTAATTAAAGCAGAAATACGGCAGTGCATTAGCTATAATAAAAAAGGAGACTTATTTATATTTTCCTTCACTTTTTTATTTCGTGTTTTTTTTTTAAAAGCTGCAAATACTTTGCAAAGTTTTCTTAATGCATAGTGTCTTTTTTATATTCAAATTGTGGTAGTTTAGAAACTTATTTCATTATGATTTACATATTGTGTTATATCTATACTAGATCTGTCAGAATGAGCATTCACCTAGAATAACCTGGTAACCTATTTAAATCCTCTATTCATGACTCCCTTGTACAACTCTGATGGCACCCATTCAACTATCCACAGCCCCTCCTGGTGCTGCTGCTGATCCAGGGCCAAGTGTAGCAATGGGGGGGCATGGCGCAGACCTTCCTGCGACCTTGGCTGTTTGTTGTCAAGCCAAACTTAAAACTTATCATGAAAGATGAGCACTTCTGAAGCCCTATGGGGATGGCTTTAATAACACTTTTTTTTTTTTGCTTGGAGAGACTGCAGCTTACTTATTACGTAACAGGTCTGACGTACTTCACACATTCTCATCTGTTCCTGTAGCAATCTGTGACGATGCTGCTATGTTTCTCAAAGTTCAGACTCCCGCTTTTACTTTTAACCATCCAGCATCTTTTATATGTCAATACAACTTGTTGAGTTCGCCCTCAATTCACTAGAAATTCATGCAAGCAAATGCTTCAAATAAACACTAGTTTTTCTAGCAGCATGTAATCACATGCGTATGATATAATAATGAAAACACTCACCTGGAGGAGAAGCTTGACTCTCTCGATGGGGGCTACAGCTGTTTTGGAGATAGCAGCGGCAATACCACCTGCCAAGAAGTCCTTGGCGAAGGAAACAGCTGTCTCATTCATCTTCAGATGTTATCAGTTACTATCAGTCGGTGGTGTGTGTTGGTGGAGTTGAAATGGCCGACTCCAATCTAGAGGAGAGGGGATTTAATAAGACTGAGCTCGAGGGACCGTAAACTTTGACTCTTGCGTCTGATTGGCTGGCTGAAGTAAAAGGGGGCGGGGTTAATGGATGTCCTTAGATTCAGATTTGGTGCCCTCTGGCTCATCACTCAAGTGATCTCATAAAAAGAACGAAAAGTTTAACTATGTAACTAAAAAGTAGTTTATATGTGCTGATTTAATCACATCTAAACGTAAGTATTGTGTTGTTTGAAGTTTTGGATGAGATTTGGATCAAAGTCATATCAAATATCAGTTTGAATCAGCTGATGGCTAATGGCTATTCAGAGTAAAGGTCATCCCATCTGTTAATGTCCTTTGGCTGTCACTTAGTTTCCCACAGTATGGAAAAGAAGAAGACAGGATTAAATCAGGTGACTGATCCGATCATATTAACCATAGCTTGTTTGAAATCTCACCAAAAACCTTGCCTGTCATCAAAGATTATCACCAAACACAAGAACATTCATTGAAACTATTTATTTATATGTTATTATAATCTGTTTGTTTATTATCTTCTTTTTGTTTGTTATCCTTGAATCCCTATCCTTGAACCCCCACCACTGAGTACTTGTTGCTATTTATAATATTTCCATTCTGTATTGTGCGGTGCTTTCATGTTAATGTTTTTAATTAACCCTCTTAAAATCAGATTTTGCACATTCAGACCCAAGACCAATTTCTGTCTTTTGCTAACAAAAAGACAGTATCAAGACTGTCAATTATTACTGTAGCAAATATTAAATTGCATTTTTACTACACGGCAAAGTGGCGTCAATTACTGAGAATGTAAAAGATGAAGAAAAAACCAAACACTTGTCCTTGTGAACCTATTTAGCTTCAGCAGGATGTCGATTTATCTCCCTGAAGGTTAAATCAACTGAGGTTATAAATATATAACAAAGATTTTAAAAAACATATGAAAAACAAATGTGTCTGTGAAGTTCTAATGTTTTAAGCGCAGTTCTTACATCATAATAGATGTTTGCAAGTTGTAATGACTGATCATAACATTCATAACATAAGAAGCATCACCATTTTTTACATTCTTTGTACATTCAAAATAGAATCTATCACACATAAGAGTAGACAAGCCTTTTTTATTTTTGCAATTCTTATAAACTACATATGGCACTGTTTGATGTTAATAGCTGAAATTAGTACATTTAATAAAATAAATAGTCAATGCGCAAGGCACATAATATTTGGTTAAAACATGGAAAGACAAAAAGGATGTCAAATAATCAAATAATACTATCAGATACAATAATGTCAATGAAAGAGGTAGACAGTTTCTAACAGGACATAATACAAATGCATGTTAACTCCTCCTATGAAGAATAGTATTTCATTTTTCTGGTCAAGTGTGGTCAGCACTGCTGTCACCATTGTTTTTAAAAGACATCTTCTCTCGTGTCAAGTTTCATCAGCATTTTCATAAAGACGACTCCCCCGACCCAAAGTTCCTGTTTTTCAAGTAGCGCTTTGCCTCCTCCAGCTCGGACGGCCCGAGGCTCTGGTCGACCCCCGGGGTGAGTTTGTAGCTCAGGGGTGAGACGATGTACCCGTTGCGGTAAAGGGAAACCTGCTTACACATCTCGAAGCAGGTGAAAAGAAGGCCAAAGTAGGGAACAACCTGAAGGAATGATAAGAGGTGGGAGACAAAGAATTTGTAAAGTGTAATGCCATCATTTCATGTGATTGAAGGAATATGTAACACTCAAAATGTTCATTTTTATATCCATTATTCGGCCCATGTCTCCTTGAAATAATAAATAAAAATAAAAGGATCAGTTTACAAACTCTCACAACACTTGTGCAGTATAATCAAGTTCTAATTCAACCAGTAATTTGCTCACTACCTCACCAACACATGATTATTCACTAAAACTCTTGAATTCGCTTGTCCTGACTCACACAGAAGAGTTACACACCTGCCTTAGTGTAAGACAATTTACACTGGGTTTTGAATAAGATTGTTTTGGAACAGTTTTGCTGTTGTCAAAATGTCCATCTACTTCAAACATGCAAGAAAAAAGAATTCAATGTATTAAGTGGTGAGTAACTGAATTTGGGGGTGAATTATTCCTTTAGATTGACCATCAATCCAAACTAAGAGGGTTATGCTGTGGTTTGAATATGACCCAAAGTGTGCTTAATGTGTATTTTACTTATTTGTATTCAGCTTGACATTTTGTTAAAGAAGCGGCTCATGATAAGGCCTTACATTTGTAAAACAGCTTCCAACTATTGTGACATTAGCTGCTGAAATATGAGAGTGGAGCATGCTGTTCCAGGGACAGACTTTGTCCAGCTTGCTTGGGATATTCATGCTATGAAACACAAACTTAACACTGCTTTCAATGCCCCTCCCTCACCGTCATCCCTCTCCCTTTTACGTGTGACATGGGTCACAATTCTCTCCCGTCATAAAGTAACACATGCTCTGGAGCACGTGAAGTCATTTGAGTTGATATCAGATGATTTATAGAGATTAAACTATGTTTGCGATATAAATAATATGAGTAAGTGAAAGGTTACCTTTATTGTGTTGGCTGTAAGGCCGTTCCACAGTGAGAGGACGCCCTTGTTTTTAACAACCTGTATGAAACAGTCCATCATTCCAGTGAAATGGACGTCGACTCCACCTAAATGTGGAAGACGGACACTCTGCGCCTGAGAAGAGAATGAATGAGAAAATGAACAGCAGCGAAATGTCATTATGTGTCTGTGAAGTAATAACCTAAAATGTCAAGTGAATGACAACACTGATAGAAACTGTTGCCATCTTGAGACAGAATCGAGAATCGAAGTTATTTACATGCATAACAGCAGCGTTGCTAATAAGAAGTGCAATGAAGGAATTAATGAAGTTGTCACTTCTGCTCTATTAAGAATTGTCTATGATTGACTACATTTTTTGTGGGGAATATTACATTTCAAGCCGTTTTTATTTACAACTTTTAAACACAATTTCAAACAAAATACAGAAACGAAACCCTATCCTGCCTATACACACTGTCTTGTGGGCGCCGACATCTCTACGGTCTGACCCTCATGTGATAGGGGAAACGTAACTTTAGTAGTCTCAAGGTTATCAAAGGAAACACGCCACCATTAGATGGTTCAAACAGCTTAATTTGAGGGGGAAACATTAAGCTAACCAGCGAGTTAAACAATACTTGGCTTCCCTAAGCTTCTGCAAACACCCTCAGCTCTGTTCATATCATCTAATCTCTGCATCACTTTTAATGTTTAACTCTGAGACATAGACACGAGTTAAATCATTATATAACATTGTTCTTGATGGTGCGGCGACATGGTGGTGATGGTTTATTGAACTCAACATACACAACTCTCACTTTGCCTGCTGTCTGATAGTGACTGGCTATTTTTAGAGAACTTATCTACAGCTACTGCAGACGAGCCACAAAATCTAATTCTCAGCTGCTGTTGAAACCTTGTGGTGGCTAATAATAGGCGGATAAAACCTGATGTAGTATTCAGTCCTTTGCAGCGCCATCGTTCCCCATGTGTCCTCCCTAACCTGCAGGAGGCATCTCAAACATAATTTCAAGGGAAAGCGGTGCAAACCAATGTTTCTTCATGTTTTCAGAAACGCTTATGGAAAATGTCCTCCACAAATACCCATAGGTCAAATTATTCTGAAGGTCAATATGAGAAAACATAACTGCCAAGACTATTTTGATACAAGAATTTAAACTTGCTTGAGTGACCAAGAAAGGCTAAACTTCATGTTGGCATATGCCCACTGCCCTCTTGTGGACTTAACGTGGTAACACATCCAGTGTACTACACCTTATATATTATAAACAGCCTATTTTTTTTAAAGGTCTGTTTCAGTTCCCCTATCAAACCAAACCTACGTGCAAAGAGTGAAGTGATCTGATGGCAAATTACCTGCATCTTCCGCTTTACAGTTTCAAAAGGGTAAGAAAGGGTTTGAGCCACTCCTGCTGCAAGACATCCATTAATAAAGTTCTGGAGGGGGGTGAAGCGAAAAGACGGCTCCTGCCAGAGTTTGTCCAAGTTCATGTGGACTGCATAGCATCCGATAGAAAAGGGAATAGCACCTGTAGACAAATGAAATGTACTGTAAGTTACAGAAGTCAGGAGGAACAGGAATGCCTTATAAAGTGCATATTAAATATTTTGGACCACCAGAAATAAATGACTGCAAACACACCCAGTAAAGTGAGGGAAAAGCCCCTGTAGAGCGCCAGCAGCCCCTCCTTCCTGTAGATCTTTGAGATGGTGTGAACTACGCCCATGTACACGGGCTGTCTGCAGTTCTGAGCAATCAGCCGGGTTTCTGCCACCTCCAGAGGGTACGTGGTCAGCGCAGCCACAGCACCAGCCAGTCCACCAGCTAATATGGCTCTCCACTGAGAGATGAAGCCCAGCTCATCCATGTGAAGGTGGACCAACCTGGACACACAGGAAGGAAAATTGCATTCATTAGAAAGTGAATGTTTTTAGGGTGCAAGTAAGTTTTGAAATTAAATATGTCTGTAATATTCTGTTGTCACTTTAACAACATTTAAAGGGAGACAATAACAATAAATTAAAATATGTACAAATGTTTAGTGATGCCTCAAGAAATTGGAATAGAAAACTTGTTTCAGTATGTATAAAACAAATATATTGATCATTATAGCTCTCGGGTCATTCGCGTCGGGCCGAACCACGCCCCTTAGCTGTGATATAATGAGCATATACCACGGCCTGTCGTGAGCTATTGCTTAAATATATAATGATAGGTTGTTGTTGTAAATAATACATGCTTATTATATTCACTAATTAACAGACTGGCAAATTACTGATATTGTAAAGTACTTACACATCACTGTACCCTGTATGCCAAGGCAGGTTTGCCATCACTTACTGTACGGAGGCTCAGTCATTGGTACACATTTATTTATAAAGCTTTGTTGGGTAAACTCCCGTATTATATCTGCTCTCTGATAACACAGAGAGTTGCAAGCAGCTATTGTCTGAGATCGCATGATGTAGTATTGTTAGATGTGCCAAGAGCAAGGACTGTCTTAGGTAAGACAGCTTTTATGTGCGCAGCTCCACTTGCTTGGAACAATCTTCAGCAAGAATAGAAACTGAGCAATCTCATTCCTCTGCATGTTTTTAAAACTCGGCTAAATGAAATGCTCTTTGATACTATGGGCACTTGTAAATGTCGATAACTATGTAAATGTAACCTGTAAATATAATGTATGATGTCCTTTATTGTTTTATGTTTCATGTGGAACCTATTTGCTGCAGGTCTCCCTTGAAAAAGAGATCTATGATCTCAATTGGACCAATCTGGTTAAATAAAGGTTTGAAATGAAATGAAATGAATATTGTGAGATCATGTTTAGTCGCCTATACCTAGGCAAATTAGTAACGCTCTCTCTCTGTGTGTGTGTGTGTGTGTGTGTGTGTGTGTGTGTGTGTGTGTGTGTGTGTGTGTGTGTGTGTGTGTGTGTGTGTGTGTGTGTGTGTGTGTGTGTGTGTGTGTGTGTGTGTGTGTGTGTGTGTGTGTGTGTGTCTTTAAGAGGATAGGGTTTTCTTATCCTGGAACAAGGTGTGTACAGTACAGACAATGATTCAGTGGTTTGCCACGTCAGGATGCGGTTGTGTCTAAACGCACACGTGACCTGAAGCATGAGAGGGAACATACAGACTGTGGCAGCTTCACAACAGACATAAATATTTATGACTGTCCTGCACGTGTAGCCTACAGACTTTATACCAGACATGCTATAGGCATTGCGGCTCGTTTTGTCCGGTAGTAACCCGACGGAATAAAGAGTTGGTTATTTACCCTGACGTTAGTCTCACAGGCAACACTTACTCTTGTAAATGGAATACATTTAATTTCCCCTAGGATCAAGCATACATCATTTAATTATGTATAAACCTATAAACACGTACTCATGGTTAGGCATCCAACTAAAACATTTTCATTATGAAGTAATGTGCACTGTTTAATCAATAAACCATGCATAAAAACAAAAGGCCAACACAACCTCATTGGGACTTGACTTCTAGTTAAGGCTAAACAATCAATGGAAATATTATTAAAATCGTGATATGACCTATGATATGGATATCAACCCACTATTATTGGATTGACAAATAACAACATCTGAATGTGTAACCTGGCACTCTTTTCACCATTATTTTTAATTTAAAAGAATCAAGCAAAAAAAATCAGCAGACAATAGTTACTGGATTCAACAATAAAATTAAATACAAATAAACTTGACATTATGGAGTAGACTCCAGGAAAACCTCATGCCTGTGAGACAACTTTCAGGGAACCCAAACCCTGTCACCTCAGTATCGAATGAGCAAATACAGCCTTCTGATTGGCTGAAACTTGAAGGTGCGGTAAAACAGGAAGTATATATTTAGCTTCATGAATAGAGGTAAACAGACTATTTAAACGAACCCCGATTAGTTATTTTATCGTGTAAAAACATTAATAATTAATCCAATGATTACGTATTCTTCTACGGTAGTTAATATGTGTTCTCTTTTTCTTTTTGCCACACTTTTCCCACTAAATCTTGACCGAGCTAATTTAGCATAGGCCTACAGACAAAGCAAAACAAAGAAAAACAACACACCCACAAGAGATGTTGTAAGCAAAAACACGTTGAGATTAAACGATTTATAGTTCACTTTACTTACTTTTTGTATGTTGTGAGGTGAACTGCGGTGTAGGGGATCAACCGCAGACAAGAGGCGAGGTTTCCTTTCCAAAATCCTCGAAGTCCCTCATTCTGGTAGATTAAGAGGAAACTCTGCAGGAAACCCCTCTTACAGTGAAAAGTGCCCACCTGACTTTTTATTTTAACCACTTCCAAGGGCGACGTGAAGGTTTTACTGAAAAACCCGGCGAAACCGACGCACATGAAGCTCTGGGAACTCGTCAGTCTGTCGTCTTTTTTCACCGAGGCCATCTCTGTTTGTATCCCCGCTGAAGTGTCTGCTTCCTGGGGTGATTTCAGTGTTTTTCGGTGGACAGCAGAGGAGTTGTTTGTGCAGGTTAGACATCTAAATGTAGAGACCGAGAAGGCATCCGTCTCCTGTCCCGACCATAGACTGTATAAAGGTCCCGACCAGTGGTGTAATGTGACAGAACAACATGTCCCTTTGACCGGTGAGATGGAGTTATGTATCAAAGACACTAGGGGACGCTCTTTACCTGGTTTAAAAACTCACAAGATGTTAAATCTATTTAAACACAATGCAGTCTAATATCCTCTAATAAAGTAATAACAAATCTTTGGATAAATAAACACACCATTTATTGTAATACAATTTCATTTCATAAAATCATATTTGTTGCCTATTATACAATTAGATTTGTTATTACTATTGTCTTAATATGTAAATAGCATTTCTATCTTTCTTTTTTTTGTATTTTTATTTTGTAGCTGGATGAATTTGAGCTAGCTTTAGGTATCCTACTTTACATATAATTACATTGTTCATCTAAGAAAATTGCATCATATAATATCTGCAAAATAAATAGTAATTTAAGTATGGTGGCAATATGCAATGCATTTAAAAGAACACTTTGTCACATATATAATATATATTTACATATATATATATAATCAAGTCAAGTACATTGAAACTGTGCTTGAGTACATTATGTTGACAAATGAATCCATATAATTTCAACATAATAGAGGCCATTTGTGTTTCACTGCAATGTTGTGTAAAAACTGTTTCCAGTTTGTGAGATATTTTTCTTTCAGAAAACATTTGACTTATTTCTTATAATGTGTTTATAAATCTTATGATTAGGCAGCAATTTGTGAGGGTATTAGATAAGACACATTGCGGACATTTGTCTTGATTTGTATGTATTTATGTATATGCACCAAGAACACCAAGACAAATTCCTCGTATGAGTTAACCAACTTGGCAATAAACTTGTTTCTGATTCTGATCGAAAGCATATCCGTAATATGAGTTTAGAGATAACAATGGAGGAAGTCAAACTTGTGGTCAGTGAAATAGTCATTTTATAGTTTTGTCACAGTTACTTCCATAAAATAAGACACGGTAACGTTGTTGAACTGAACCACTTCATATGTTCAGTTGACCTTTTGAGTGGTCCCTTAAAGACTAGTTGGGAGCCACATATTTAAAGGATTGGTGGGGAAACGTTGTATCTATAGGTGGCGCAATTCTCCAACATTTTGATTGTCAACATGGGACCTGGGGGAGAAATAAGAATCTCCTACTCATGAAGAGATATATAATTGGGACATGAACTGCTCAACTCAAAGACCTGAGAGTCCTAGATAGAAAAGCATAACATTGCTTCAATGTATTAATAATTAAGTGTACCTCAGATAAAGATAAAGATGAAAGAAGGGAGAGGTTTTTGGAGTTGGAGATTTGATTTGGATCAATCCAAATGTTCAATTACGCTGCAACTAGTTATATGCTTTTTTTGAATGATTGATTAACCATTTGATCTATAAAATACAACAAATATCAACGTTTTCATGTCTTTTTTATAAGTTTAAAACTTGAATATATTCAGTTTAATATCATATAAAACAGAAAGGCTAAACATTTCCATATTTAATAGCATTTCATGTCACTTTAGCGTGAAAAATACATTATCTATGGATTTTTAAATAATTGCAATTTCTTTTTGTAAATTGACTATAAGATTAATCAACTTATCGTTTCAGTTTTATTTCGAATATCCTCCTTTTTTTATCTGCAAGGACATTCAACGTGTTACTACACCAGCAAGCTAAATTCTTATATTCTTTATTCAACCTAATGGATCAGCTCTGATTTACTGTCTAACTTCATCAGCATTGATTTGTGCTCCCTGTCTTGTTTCAGCACCATGTTTGTTTTTCTCCGGGTCTTGGCCTGTCTCCCCTGCCGGGCCGACAACCTCAGCAGCATGCCAGGAGCCCACCTTCTGTCTGGACCACTTGGCTCCTCCACAAAGACTATCTGGAACAACAGAGCCAACCAGAGGAAATGACAGACGGATCACAAGAGGGCTCCCTCACTCCCCCTCTCACTGCCTACTGGGGGTGGAAAAAGGGTGTGTCTGTGCGTGTGAATGGGACACTAGCTTTCACTTATGAAAACTCAACAACAAAGTTTGATCTAGTGGAGGTAATAAAAGTGATGGTCAAGAAACCATCTAGAAAAATTGCATACTGTATTACTGCCCTGAGATGTGCACACACACTGTATACATATTTGGAGGGGGCAATAGCTCAGGGGGTGAATGCATGCTAATGCTGATCTTCCAATTATAGGTTCAGTGCTTCGATCCCACCCCCTGCAGTCAACATGTCAAAGTGTCCTTGGGCAAGATATCCTGAATTGCTCCCATAAGCATGTCTACGGCTTATAAGGGTAAGACGTTTTTGGATCAAAGGTAAAATAGTATGTACTGTAATATTTCATATTAGGTACTCAGGCAACCAGGCTATTTTTTTTTTTTAAGTTCAAAGGTATTCAAATTATGTTACAAGCAAATCAATACAATCTTTAGAGCCAGGATGATATTCAGAAGAAGTCATTTACATCCAATATATGGGTGTGGAAGTATGATTTTTTTTGGTCCTCAGAGCAATAAAAGAGCCCACTTTGAAAAGTCTTTGATCTCTCTGTCATATGTGGTTTGTGATACACGAGATAATGAGGAGTCTTTCTTTAAAGATAAGTGGTGTGACGCTGTATCTTATCAATTAATGCTTCAGCAATCAAACAGGACACCAGCCAAGAATCTGTTGCCACTCTGTCTCCTCTGCTGCCCTTCCTCTGCCCCTCACTTTGCCTTTACCCTTCAGTATTCATAGAGAATACACATAGAGCACTGCCTTCTTCCTGTATGTATATACCCCTGCTGAATGAGAACTTCCTTCATGAAGCAAAGCAGTGCGGGAGCAGCCTGTATGCCTTTGTGTCTCTGGGACTGGCACGTAGCAGTAGGTGTAGGCTGGCTGAGGCATTGTCATTCCCTGCATGTCATGCGCAAGTCACCCCTTGATCTCCCACTTTGAAGTGCATTGCTGGAGGAGACTGGGAGCAGTGTGTGAGCCCAGCCTGAGCTCAGGGCAGTCAGCAGAGGGCGCCTGATACCAGCGAGGCTGCACGGAGGCCTGGGGCGCTGTCATCCTCACAGACTGGTGCAATAAAATTCTCACCTCATTATCTGAGACAGTCACATCACAGGCTTGTGTTGGCAGGGGAGGGGAAAGGGAAGAAAGGGTGGGGGTGGGTGGGTGACACCAGAGTCTGTCTGTATGTGAGTGTGTCTTTTTTTAAGAGTGGGGGGTGTATTGGTGATAAAAATCAGGCAGAAGTACAATTCACTGTGGCACCATGCCGACACCTCTACCCACAAGGCTCAGGCCAAACTGCAGCGCTCCCCGGCTCACTTAACAGGAACGGGAGACTTGTTTTGCATAAGAGCCTAATTTTCTATTAATGGTTTCTGTGATGGGTTAAACTGTGAAAGGTTGTCAGGGTTTGTTAGGAATAGTAAATGCAATTTTGCACCTCATTAATGGAAACAGTCTTTATTACAACAAACACTGAAACTACTGTTGCCTCGGCCCTGGAGACCAGTAAACACAGTCTATAGAGTGTCAAATATGCAGCCTTAAGTAGTTTAACTGTGTTGTGACAGTAAAGTGCTGATTCATACATCATTTTTAACGTGTGATTAATATCACAACATGTGTAGTTACATTTTAATGAAGTTCGGTTTTTTGTGGTGGATTTCTTGGAGTGTGCCATTGAGTAAAATGAAACAACTTAATTTTGAAATTTTGCATTTTGTCATATAGTTCTGCTAGTTGCCCTTTTGCCTTGTTGAAACTTGGAACAAGGAATGATGCATTACCTATTTACCCAGGATGTGGTTGACCAGGAGGCCCATTGTCTGTGAGGATGCAGAGGAGAACTTCTGGCAGCTGGTGCCCCCTTATCTTCCCATGTACAGCCAATAAATCAATATCAAATCTAAGGAACAGGAAGCCAGATGGCCTTCCCACAACCCACTAGGCTGGGGCTGCTCTCAGGCCCTCCTCGGCTACTGTACCACTGGTGCATGCTGCAACCCTTTGAAGACATACACATTCAACAAGCAGCTCAATGAATGACTAAAGGGAACAAATAAGCTGTTACGACTCTGCTCAAAACAGTGTTTGTGTTAGCATCCACATCAAAGGCCCCATTCTGTTTGATATGCAGCAGCCCCCACACCTTGATCCCAGCCATGTACAGGTAGAGGGGAGGAGCAGTCTATTGAGAAGCGAGAGGGTCATGTGGCTGCTGCTCTCAGCCCCGGCTCGAGGGCAGTTGACCCAGACAAGGGGTCTGGTGATGTCTCTCCTTCCCCAGGGAGCTATCGCCCCTTACACCCATCACTAGACACATTATTTATTGGGTGGCCTATTGATCACGCACGTTTAAGTATTATTCACAGGACTTCACTTCACACCTATTTCATTATACATACAGTGTGTACATATTTTATAGCATTTTTATATCTGTATTGTTATTTTTCCTCTTATGCAGCTTTGTTTGATTCAGATATAGTGTATTCATATTTCTAGAGTATTTTTCACATTCTTATTGTAATATTCTTTCTAACAGCTTTAATTTTTATGAAGATATATTGTACAAATATTATAGTATTTTTTTACATTTTCTTCTATACATTTTTTTTTATTTCAGATGTTTTGAACACATCTTTATTGTATTTGTTCACATTTTGTTCACATTTTTGTCTTTGTTCTTTTGTTGTTTCTTTTATCTTATCCTTTTTTAAATTTTTAATTCCATTTTCTCTTAATATATTGATATGCACATTTCTCGTTGGTATAAACCTACTTGTCAATAAAACCTACTTGTCAATAAAACAGATTCTGAATCAGATTTGGAGCAGTAATCACAAAAT